GGGGCCCCCCCCGCCTGTGTCACCCGTGTCACCTTGTCACTGCCCCCTTCCCCGTGTAGGGCATCCCTGCCTGTGTCACCCGTGTCACCCCCTCGTCACTGCCTCCCTGCCCTCTCGTCACTGCACCCCTGCCCCATCCCTGTCACCTATGTCTCCCCAACTTGTCATTGCCTTCCTGCCTGCTCCCCGCTCCCAGCACACAGCTCAACCTTGCGTCACCGCCCCCCTGCCCGTGTCACCCCCCCCCGCTGTGTCACCTGGAGGCTGTGCAGCGAGTGACCCCCTGGGCTAGGCGCGAGGGGCAGCAGAAGGGGCCCTGGGACTGCTCTGTCGGCTCCGCGGAGCCACCAAGGGCCCCTGTGCCCTGCTGCGCCCAGACGGCTTCCCCGGGCACTTGGGCAGCCGCTCCGCACCCCACGTCTGCTCCTGCCACGCTGCTTCCAGGGGGGAATTGCTTCCTCGCTCCCCCCTGCTCCCAAGAGCAGACCCCAACAAGAAGCAACATGTGGGTTAGGTCGCTGGCTCCAGCTCTGGCTCCCTGGAAGGGGCCACCATGTTGCCATGGCTACAGGGAGAAAAAAAAAAACCCAATCCAGAGAGACGCTTGTGCAGATAAAACTGCTTTATTAAAGAGAAGGAGCCAGGGAAGTTCGGCCGGTGCAGGGCTCGGATGCAGCCGGAGACGAGGCCAGAGGGATGGGGCAGGTGCCCCTTCCAAGGGACCTACCCCCAGCCCTGTGCTTGGCACCAAGCCGAGGTCAGACGGAGCCTCTGGCAGTCGCCAGCACATCCAGGGCCCGTTAACGAGCTCCTCTGAGGACGGCCGTGGGGGTTCGGAGCCCGCGGCCCCGCTCTGCTTGCAAAGCCAGGCGGCCGCGAGGGCAGGGCTTCCTTCCTGCGTGCCCTAAGTACCTGCAGCGACACCTGAAACCTTTTTTTGGGGTGGGAAGAGAAAAAAACTTAGCCAAAAAAAAAAAAAAACCCAAACCACCCTTACCTCAAAAGCAGATTTCTGGTGAAAAGAAACATTTAAGGGGACTTTGATAACTTGAAGGTAAAGCCTACGATCAGTTATTGAGTTGAGATGGAAAGCACTTTTTAATTAAAAAAAGGCTTTTTTTTTTGTTTGCTTCAATGCTGTTCAAAAGAGGGCAAACGGTGATTTGCCTGTAAGAGAAAGGTCCCGTAAACTGAGCCTTGCACAGCAAGTTATCTTTCCGAGCATCTTTCAGGTTAACTCTTTGACCACGGAAGGCAGGATTTCCAGAAGAATGAAGCTGCATGGAAAACGAGAACGAAGGGGTGCTGAGGCTCTTGGCCGAGCTGCTTATTCTAGCCATAGATGCCTCCCGAAAGCAGCAAAAGAACTAAATAAAGAGCAGGGCATCTTCTGAGGAGCCCGGCTGTGCCCGGCGCCGCGGGCGGGCAGGCGAGAGGTGCCCGGGTGCCATCTCCTGCGTCGGGGACTCACTGCGCGGGCACCCGCCCAGCACAACCTGCTGGGGGACCCTCCTTGGAAAACTCGGCCCTTTCTCATCTACCCCCTTCCCGCCGGATCAGCAGCACAGAGATGTCCCTGCTCTAAGCACCACCCAGAGCGGGGTCCTGACCCCCCCGGACCAGATCCCGAGGTTTGGGCTCTGCTGCTCTGTCCCCCTGGCCGCGGTTCCCTCCTGTTGGCCCCGCAGCCCCCTGAGCACTGAACACAAGCACGTTGCTTCCAGTAGCACAGCAAGGTTTATTTCCTCCCCAAAACCAACATTTCATCATTTTGCAACTTGCCAGCAGTGAAAAAGAGCATTTGATTAAAGAGATCTCCAAAAGCAGAGACACGAACCAGCCTGTGAATTGTATCCCTCCCCCTCTCTTCCAAGACACCAAAATCATCCCAGGATTTCCAAAGCGCCCACAGTTCATCTCATTATTCAACAAGGCCAAAATTGCAGCTGCTCACACAGAATTCAAGCTGCCCAGGTCAACCTTTACCAGCAGGATGAAGGGCCTCCAGCTTTTAAAGGGCTCCAAGGTTATTTCAAAGACATTTCTTCAAAAATAGGTGGAATTTGGCAAACATATTGAAAATGTCAGCTAAGTTTTGAGTAGTATTTAAGTACGAGCCTGTGGTATTTTTAAATCTGCCCCTCGAAGCTCTCACTGAGATGCTAGTAGCTGTTACCCATCGCCAGGAAGGGCTGGGAGGTGGTTATCCAGCAGTAACTCCGCGGCTCACGGAGCGTATCCAGGGTCCCGGAGGCAGATGTTGCTGCTGGACTCCTCTAATCTCCTGCCTAGCCCGAGGAACAGCAGCGGCTTCGCAGATACTTCCCGTCAAGATCCAGCCAAGCCCAATTCTGATTAATTAACGGAGCCGGATGAAATCCCAGCCTTAGCTACCCCGGCCGCTCGCTAGTTACGGCCAACCGCAGCGCTGCCTGTGCCTCTCACTCGAGGGACCTCGTATTTACGGAGTATTAATTAGACGGATGTGAAGCACCTCTCCTCGGCAGGGGAAGTTATCTGCTCTCTCTTGGCCCTGCAACAAACACGTCCTGGGTCAACTTGCAGCCTGAAAAGGCAAAAGTGCTGCCTTCTCCCTCTGTACATCTGCTGCTTTTCATCTTTCCTCGCTGTTGACAGCGATGCAGCCCTGCCAGACCCAAGCGGGCAACAGGCTCGGGGAAGGAAGAGCTGGAGCCTCTTTGCCCATGGCCGTGATCAGAATTGGTCCCTCAGATCCAGGCCTGTTGAGCAGAAGGAGGGGCTGTCACAGAGACCTAGATGGAGGGTGAAGATGTGCCGAGACAGCAATTTGGCCAGCAGACCGTTTCCAATGACTCCTCCACCTCCAAAGGTCTCCAAGAAGAGGCAGACATTGTCAGGGCCAATGCCAAATGGTCAGGTTCAAGCTCTCCACTGTGAGTTGGGTGTCTTCAGATCATGGTGCCATCTGAAAACACTCAACTGCGATGGGCTCTATAGGAAACTCCGAGATAAGTGAATAGAAAAGTTTACCTAAGAATTACAGCCACTGTGTCATATCCAGCTGCATCCAATGCTCAGCTCAGCCTTGGGGGAATACTGAATAATCCTGGTGAATATTCACCGTGGACTATCCATGGTAGAGTAGTGGCCTACAGGTGAAAGGGGATTCAGTGGCCTCTCTTGTTTGTTCTTCACTCGCTGTTAGGTTCAATTTCCCCAAGAAAAGAGAGCAGTGAAAGCAGAAGAGGCTGTAGAATAGGGCAACCTTGTCAATGGCGTGACGAGGTGCAAGGGGGACACGTTGTGGGAATGTCCTACTGCAGTTAGCAGGAACACAGCTCCACAGCCCGTCTGTAAAGGGAACAGAGGGCTCTATGGTGAGACCTTCAGGGATGTTAGGGAAATACAGCCCCTTGGGCACACAGTGGCTTTCAAAGACATAAAATCAATAGTAATTTGCCTACCGGGCAGCACCGCTTGCTCCAGACCCATCTTACTTGTTGTCTAACCCTTTTTATGTATCCAGGTCCTCATCCAAACCTCAGAGTCTCATTTCTGCGGACTTCTCCCGGTTTGGATGAGGTCCTAGCACAGCGAGCCCAGCGGCCTGCACCCCCTGAGCCCAGCCCTCGGCCCCTGGAGCTGCATTAGCTGCCCAGAGCAGCAGAGCTGCCCAGAGAGGCAGGGACGCACGGGGGAGACATGGAAGGGTCCGCAGAGGAGAGAGGGGCACTGGAGCTGCAGACCTGCCAGAGCCCATCAGGCTGCGTTTCTGTGAGTGCCAGGAAGCCGCTGGGCCTCCCCTGGCAGGATCAAAAGGGAGCTGGCTACTAATAAGGGCTTCATCCTGGCAAACTTCAAAGCACACCTCTGTGCCTCACCAACTAAGCCACGGGGACAAAAATCAAAGGTGAATTCAGAAGCCAGAGAGCAGAAAGAGAGGATCCCACACACGCTCTCCCCCAACCCTTGCTGGTGGTCATACAGTAGGACCACGAGCTCCAGGATCTCTGGGAGGGCTGCAGCGGAGGCAGACCCAGTGCTGCAGATCACGCAGAGTTTCCGCTCTCGCACAACTTGCCAAGGAAGCAAGTGATCAATTTCTGCAGGGCCTCAGCCCGGACCACCGAGATGCGCAGGACTTCCTCGTGGTTGGCTTTCTCCTCACTGCTGTAGCTCATCACAGCTTTGTTGGTGATCAGGGAGACCCCAAAGACTCTGAGGCCACAGTGCCTGGCTACAATCACCTCCGGGACCGTGCTCATGCCTGCAGGAGAAGACCAAAGGACAAGGATGCGTCAGAAGGGTCAGGATTACACCAAAATCCTCACAAAGCACCAAACCACTCTCCCATCTTCAGTGCATGCCCTGCTATCCTTTCTCTGAAGCTACTTCTGAGCAACCCGACCGTTGGAGCCCTGCAGTAACAGCTCTGCTCAGCATTAACGAGCCACCAGTGTTTGATTCCCGTGTGCTGTGTCTCTGTCCCTGTCACCAAGTGCCCACAGCAGGCTGCTCGCAGCCCTGCCAGGAGAAGCACCGATGGGCAGTGTCATGTAGCTCTTCTCTTGCTGAGAAGCTTCCCGGAGGAGAAGCAGCTTTCCGAGAAGCTCAACGCCTTCCTTCACACGCATCATGTCTGTGGATTTTAATGAACAGACATCCACAAGTTGCCCCAGCCTCCAGGGTGTGAAGCTGGAGGAATCACTTGGATCATAATGTTCACCCTCCTCACATCCCATTGGGAAGGTTTCCGTGATTGCTACCCCGAAGGCACAAAGACTCCTGTGGAGGGCTGCTTTGCACAGGGCCCAGGAAAAACCCTTAGAGTGGCAGAAATCAGAAAATAACCAAATGGCACTTGATTTCTAATGAGGCTCCACTTGTTCCTGGTGAAGTCAAGCCACGAGAGTGTGGCAAACTTGTTCTTTAGAATGTAAGTGGAATATTACATGGGGCTGCTTGTCTCAGCCAGCCATAAACACTAGAAGTGTTTGGCAGATCCATCCGAGCAGCTACGTTGAGCTGCTCCAGAACCGTGCCAAACTATTCCGGTTCACCTCTCAGGCCCCAGAGGCTTTGGTGGGGACCCAAACAGCAACAAGAACCAGCCGGGGGCTGAGGGCACCGTTTAACCCATTGCTTAGTGCCCGAATGACCCCACGAGCCCAGACCCACCTACGGCATCTGCGCCCAGGGCCTGCAGCATGCGGCACTCGGCGATGGTCTCGTAGCAGGGGCCCGTCTGCATGCAGTAGACCCCTTCCCGGACGAAGGGCAGGTAGCCCAGCTCCTGCGCGCTCTCCCTCGCCACGCTGAGCAGCTCCTCTTCGTAGGCGTCTGACATACAGGGAAACCTCACCCCGAACCTGGAAAGCAGGAAAGGACACGGCCGTGCTGGCATTGCTGCTGCTCCTCCTCCAGCAAGGATGAGGAATGGTCATTGCTGGTAAAAAAGGAAAGATTAAGAGCAGACCTGCCTTGCGTACAGTCTGTCTCATCCCAGCCTTGCCATCAGGCACTTCCATCCTTCCTGCCAGACTTAATCCCCCAAGACCCTCCCCACGCAGAGATTAGAGCCCCTGGAAGGCCTGGCCTTTCGTGCCTAGGGCAAGTCCTTTGGGAACGGTCTTTCCAAGGACTTCTATCTCCAGATAGCACCGATGGCCAAATCTCTCTCCCCGGGACCTGGCCCTCGGCTCCTCCTGCACGTGCAGAGCCCCCAGGCCACCCCGGTGAGGAGGCAGAGGCCACGGTGGAGCTCGGGTAACTACACGCGTCAGACCCCCTGCATTGGGCAACCAGGGATGCCTCCCTGGGCATCTCCTCATTCACACCCACAACACTTGAAACGGGAGGCGTAGGAGACAAAGCAGGGGAGATTTGAGCCTCCCCTCCACTCTCCATGCTAGGGCAGTTTGAAGTGCCCAAGGAATGGCCCTCTTTAGAAGACCTGTTCCCCAGGTACAGGCACTGCTAGTCAGACAATACAGGGCAGGGCACCCCATGCAGCTTTTGTTTCCTGGCACAGGGAGGTCACACTGAGTGCAAGCCGGGTCACCTTTCCAGGATGTGGCTGAATTTAGTTGCCTAGCCATAAGCATCTAGGCCCTTTTAATATACCCTGGTAGGTCCTGTCTGTCCCTTGGCTGTCACTCCAGAGCACGCATGTATCCTGTGGGTCTTATCTTGAATTTGCCAGCTCCCAAGAAAGCGTATTGGATACTCAGTGGGGTCTCAGAGGTTATTAAATGCTTATATTTAACCAGTGGTGTCCTACTCTGGCCCTCCCTTGCAGGGAAAGGTGCAGAGCAGCACATCTGGGCCAGGTTTTAGGTAATGTTCACCCCATGCTTCCAGGCTGGGTCTCTGGCATGCCTTGAATCTTAAAATCAACCCTGTCCCGCTCCTGATTGAGAAAATTGTACTGCAGACTCAAAAGGAGCTGAAGTAGATGGCAAGGGCTGCCGTGCCGCTGCCGAGGTGATCTGCAAAATAAACTCCTAGCTGTCTTCCCCAGCCTGGCTGGGCAGGAACGGATCAAGGCCCTCACCCGGGCTACGGAAGCTCTGCCTGGTTTTCACGTTCCTTCAGTTGAATGTTCAAGGCAGCAACTGACTTAATGTTTGTGAGCACTAAAATATTATAAATAAAAAATAACCTTTTCTGTCAGGTCTTAGGGAACAAGCATTCATCAGCACAAAACCTGCTTCTCCTTCCTGAAGGATGGCCCCGACCAAGCTCTCCAATTTATTAACTGCAATCCTCAGATTTTCTCCTATATTCCCCCTTGCCACATCCCTCAGTGGTGCTGAGGTAAATCCTTCCCGATGGCCGAGTTTTGCTTTAGTTTTGCTGTCCTCTTGCCATTCCAACCGCAGAACAGCATTTAGCTTTCCCGAGATGATTGCTAGCACCTGCCAGGCTTCCGCAGGAGCCAGATCTGGTGTCAGATCAGGAAGGAACTAACTGCAACTGGAAACCAGGCAGAACGTTGCTCTCAACCAGAACTTAATTTCTGGAACGTTCCCAGGACAGTCCAGGCATCTGTCCTGCAAACCTGCTGCTTTTGCTACGATGCAGGTACTAGCAACCCAGCAACAGCTCTGGGCATCCTGTTATCTCTATTCGCTCTTTGCTTGTGAATTATCACCTCCTCCTCCACCTCTGTTTGCTGTCCTCTGGCTTTATACACCCTTTTCTGCCTGTTTGGTTAGGAAATCATCCTTTCTGCTGTCACTTCCTTATCCTCAAAACCATGAGGACTCAGACAGCCCCAGATCTTTCCTGCTTTCCTGACACCTAAAGCTCCTTGGTCTGAGCAGGACAAAGCTTCAGTGGATGTGCACAACAGAAGCCCTGGACCACTGCTCTGCACAGCCCTGCCCTGCCAACTCAACCAGCAGCAGGTCATGCTCTTAGATCTAGAGGTCTCCAGAGAAGCTGCCAAGACAACCAGCTCTCACAGACTGACACCTTCAGGGAATAAATAACATTAACAGAGGCACCTCAGTTTCGTGGCCTGACTAGAAGAGAGAAGGAACTTTGGAGTTTTCAGCTATGCTCCCCCAGCAGCTCATTGCTTGGCCTCTGCTGTGTCAGTTTTGTCACATCAGAACTGAGTGACAAACGCAGGCTGGAAGCACAGCAGTTCACTCGGTTACAGGGAACTGGCAGAGAGAGGGGCTGACAAGAAGGGACAACAGCAGATCCAATTTGCAGCCAGTATGGCCAGCCATCCCAGGAGAGGGATCAGGGTTCGGCTCTCACCAAGAGATTGCTGGAGGTTTGCCTGTAAACTCCTTGTAGACTTGCAAGAGAAGCAACAAGCAGGGAAAAAGCTTGGGGAAAGCAGGGCCAGTGGCACCGCGCACCCAGTTACTGCTTTAGCTTTTCCCTTGGTGGTATCTGGATCCAAACCCTCCCTCTCAGTAACTGCTTGCCAGCAGGTGCAGCTGGTGGTCTCAGCCCACGGCTGGCGCAGGAAAGGGCAGTTTGACAACGCCAAATGCCAGCTGGGATCTAGGGAAGATGCGTTTCACCATAGCGCGATGGGAACTCAAGTGGGACCAGCAGGAGATGAAGCAGGACCGGAGCAAGGGCCCGTGACAGAAACGCGCTGCAAGTCTGCAAGGAATCTGCCACGTGGCCGCTTTCAGCTAATGCTGCAGATCTTTCACAAACGCATGAGAAACGCTCTCCTGCTCGTGCAGGCACACGTTGCCTGGGTTGGGACGGAGGAGGCATCCTCACCTCTCATCGTTTTGTCCTCGCAGTGGATTCTGCCCTCCCAAGGCAAACATGCTGATGTGATCCCGAATGAACATGATGTCTCCCACTTGGAAGTGGGGATTCAGTCCCCCGGCAGCATTTGTGACGATCAAGATCTCAACCCCCAGGAGACAGAACACCCTGATGGGAAAGGTGACCTGCAGGAATCAAAGAGAAAAGACATCTGTGCAAGGAATATCAGTTTGGTTTTCCAAACTGCTTGATATTCCAGGAGCACTCTGCTGGATTTATCTCCACATACGTGGGATTACTAGATAAATTGATTTTATCTTCCATTCTTGCATCTTTTCAGAAAAGGATGGAGTCGTGATGGAAACAGAGCTGGAGCAGCCATTAGGTAGTCAGTTACCTGCCCTTGCTCAGTTAAAAATAATAGTAGCAGGAAAAGACGCAACTGTGATCAACAGCATTAAGAGGGTATAAAGGATGGAGAGGAGAAAGAAAGTGCAGGAGGTTTGAGGCAGTGAGCAGTAGCCCTCTTGGGGAGCCAAGGAGAAGGGGAGGTTGGAGAATACTAATATTTTGCTCACCTTTGGGGAGAGAAACAATCTTTACAAAAGTCCTCATCTTAGTCTATCTGGCTGCCATAGATCCCTTCTCCTCCATTTAGCTCTGTAGATCCTCACATACCAATGCTGTGCACAAGTGCTACCTTCTTAATTAAAAGGGCTCCTCCTGGGCCTCTCGTGCTGTGGGAAGGAGAACTAAAGGCCTCCATGCACCTGAGTGAGGAAGTTCCCATCTCTATGGGCAGTGAGGAAACTATATGAAACTTGATTTGCCTCCCCATAGGTTATCTATTTAAAACCCTCCACCCCGTTTAAGTAAAAAGCATTTAAATAGTTTTGAAATGCATTCAAAACTAATTTTGAAATAAGTGCCTTTAAAATTCAGGGCCAGTTTTCTACAGTCGCAGTAAGGTTGAATAAACAGAGCACGGAAAGGACATGCAGATCCTTCTTCCTTGCTGCTAAGGTGCTGCAGAACTCAAGCCACAGCACTGGTGAGGTACCTGCTAACGCACAAGGTCCTGGAGTTTAACTGATCAACCAGGTTTTTACAGCAACAAGGTATTTTGCAGAAATAGAGGTTACTCTTCATTTCAGTTTATTCACATTAGTTCTCTGCAAGGACCAGCTTATCCAAAGTCATGGAACTATGGGGAACTGAAAAAAAAAATCAAGAAAGGAAGGAAGCGGAAAGGAATGACAAAGATCATCTAGTTCTAAAATGCTAAAGAAGCAGCAAGAAACAACAACTCTCAAACTCACTTTAATAAGTGATGTTTCTTTCCCACAAACATCACTTAAAGTGAGTTAATTTTAGTTGAAAAACCTGCTTTGATAAACCTATTTTTATATCAAGAACATTTAACAGTTTTGTTTTATTAAAAGGCAAGAGTGCTGCCAAGTATCACAATTTATATTCGAACGCAAACTGCCCTGAGCCACAAATTAAGTCCCGAACCCAAGCAAATAAAAAAGAAGCCACAAAATCAGCAGTCAGTAAATAAGAAATAATATTTCCATTTTCTAACAGAAATCTGTAAACATGCACATTAGGTTATATAAGCATTTAAAATTGCATATATTTTCGGTATGTTAACTGGGAGAATATTCCCAGCTATGCTAGCCACTGACATTTTTTTCCTATATGAGGAGAAAAACCTAAAATATAGAAATGCAGAAGAAGATTAAAGCAGATTATTTTTATGACTCCAAGTTTCCTGGTTGTTGATTTAAATCATGATTACAATGAGCAAGTTGAAGCATGTAGATTAATGTGTCTGGTGTGATATACGATTTCACCCTGAGAGCATAGAGCGGGGAAGCAGCTTCGCGCCTACACAGCATCAACTTCGTCAGGCCGAAGCTAGCAGACTTCTCTTAGCTGGAATTCCCAATTTTTTGGTTTTGGGAAGGGCCTGCAATCTCAGCGTACACAGTTTCAATGCTCATTGCAAGGGCTGTCCTCCTGCAGCTGGATACCAAAGCAGTCACTTCTGCCTCTCTCTAAAAACACATCGCCTGCTCTGCGGGTGATTTACACACGGAGAACTCACCGCGCTGATGGAGTAGCCCTCGTAGAAGTGGAAGCGTCCCTGCATGCACACGCACGGGTGGCCGTTCAGCTCCCCAAACACCAGCCTGCCCACGTGCCCCGAGACTGCAAATGAACGAAGAAGGTGTTAGTGCAGCCACAGGGCTTCAGCTCCGTGCTCAGCAGGTTTCTCAGGCAAGGATCATGCGCTACGGCACAGCGAGCAGAGGCAGCAAGGTCAGCATAACCACCAGTGGCTGCACGCAGAGACACCTTGGGTGGTTTATTTGCTTTTTTGGAAGGAAAAAAGGATCAACAGCTTTCGTCAAGTTCTGCAAAATCTTGACCCAAGCGTGTGCCAGGAGCTCCGGGAGAGGGTCAGCCCCACGAGGAGTGGTGGCTTCTCACAGGCAGTTGGTCCAAAACCACATCATTTCTCATTGGGCCTTAACGACTCACAGGATATTAGGAACAAGCAACCAAGAATGAATTTGTATTGGCAGCCTGCAGGTGAAAACTAGCTGACAATACTACAATTTCCTGAGTTTCCATTCAACTGGGATGGATTATAAACTCTTTATGGGGTGCTGGTTTGCAGCTCTTGCCCAGAATGACACATCATTTGGAATGGGAGCTCATGGAGAAGATGCTGAATGTTAGAGCGAAGACGAGGCTCTGTTGATGCTCCTTTCACCACTGAAAGACTGTTGGCAGGCGGGAGCCAAGAGCAGGACACGCTGCACACGCCAACTCGAGCTGCCGTAGCTTAAAGGAGATGACATCGGGCTCTGTGAAACACTGCCAACGGGACCCTGAACAGCTCCTGTGAGAAAGCAGATGCCCCGGGTAGCGCTAACCTGTGCTCCGTGGGAAGTGCGGGATGTCCTCATAGGGAAAAACGGTCTTGTTATTTTTTTTGGCCTCCCAGGCCGGAGCCGCAGATGATGGCAGTCCTGGGGCACGGCGCGGCGCGGGCGCGTAACCAGTCTGCCGTTTCCTTGCACACCTCGTAGCGATTCCTGCACAAGGAGAACAGGTCGGTGAGGATGTGAGCCCATCCAAAGGACAAACTTCAAAGGATAAAAGTCCTGAGAAAGTACAAAAAAAATTGCCTTCTCTAAAAGAATAGAAGCTTCTCTGCTATTATTACAGATGTTTCTCTATAGCAACCACTTTTAATCTCATACTTTAGCTCTGGCCACAGGCAAATCTTTTGAATCCTCTGTGCCAGTTTCATTCTACAGCGAAAAAGTGGCTAATGATACCTATATCGCAGAAGTGTCACTGGGTATAAGCAGCAGTGCTCTGACGAGCGCTGCTCTCCGGGGCTGCTGCCAAAACATTGTTATTCTGAGAAACGACGGGCTGTGTCCGTGCACGGGGATGGCTGACCTGGCATGGGGAAGGGAGAGGGTGCAAGAGCAGGGCACCTGCAGGCATGGCCGGGCCTGTCCCAGGCAGCCCCTATGGAGATGGGATCTGATGGGAAACACTTCTGAAACACCCACTTTTTAAAATCCTCGTGACTTCAGAGCTGGAGGGTGACACAGGACCTCGCTGAGCCCTTCTCACTGCAGCAGGGCAGTGGCTCTCATCCACAGTCTACCCTAAGCAAGAGCCCAGTGCCAGCTCTGCAGCAAAGCTGAGATTAAAAGCAGCTGTTTAGGCTTCTGGGTCTGTATTATTTGATTTCTTGAGGACTGCTCCTTGCCGAGTGACTCACGCTGCTAGAAAGTGGGATAGGAGGAGGTGGCATCACAGTGCCTGTTTTGTAGCCCTTTCACGGAAAGCAAGTGGACCTCAGCTCCCAGCCCTGTCACTCCAGCATTCTTCAGCTGCACTAATCAGTTTGGAAATACAGTCAATAGAAGAATAAGCCCATAATCTTGTTGCCAATAACACAATGAAGATGCTTCTGAAAGTCGATATCAAGGTTGACTGGAAATTCCCTTCAAAAGCAAGGGTGCTGGATAGCATTTCTTGATAGCAACTTGGTGGTTTCCATTGATGGAGAGAATTAATCAGGGTATTTGCTGGAGGGCTGGGTCACAGAGCGAACTCTCCCGAATAGGGGCAGCATCTTCTGCACATAAAAAGCCCATCTGATTATTAAGGAGTGAAAAGATCAGACACTGCAAGGGCGAAGGGGATGCAAAATCGACTGGAGATCCTGATAAGCAGTGTCTGCTTCCTCAGTGTTTCTTTTGTAGAAGGCATCGTCTCATTTCCAGCAGAGCAAGCCCCCCTCAAACAGGGATTCTGCTTCCTGCACACCACCGGCGAGCAGGATTTGAACGCCGATGCACATCTAATTCCTCACGGGCACACCACATTCCAGCAGAGAATGTTAACTCTGAAACCATTTTTCTCTTGATACTGCTGCAGCAGGTAGATATTATGTGTGTAACTTCTGCGAGCTTTGCATTTCCCAGCTCCTGGCCAACATCAACTACATCCAATTAGGTCCTTGGTTCGGAAAAGAGATGTGACACACGTAGAGTACGTCACAAACTCACGCTCTGCACAAAAACCCTTCCATACTCATGGACTGGAATGGAAAGTCCTAGGTAGCAGAAATACTTTTCAAAGGAAAAATCTGGAAATGCAAGTTTATTTACCAGAACTTACTGCTGAATTCTCTCTGCATGCTGTTTCCAAGCTCTTAAAATAAAAAAGCAGGAAAATATTAACCAACCCTACCTTTGACCGTCCATACTATCATTTTCTCAGGCAGAGTTCTCCCAGACAAAATTTTTTTTAATGTTTTACATAAATTAATGACTGTTTCCTCATACTTTCTCCTCTGAGAAACTGCAACCCTTATTTAGAGAGTTGAAAGAACAAGAGTGTTGAAATGCAAGAGCCAAGCTCATTAGGCACTTGCAGAAGACATGAGGGAAGAATCGAGGTCACCATGTGTTTGGTCTTTCATTTACTTCCTACTCCTTTCTTGCACTTTTGCTGTGTATTTGTTAAGAAAAATGAATACATCTTGCAAAATAGCATAAAAACATTCCCATATCCACATAAAGAGTCTGGGATGGATCTGATTCACTGACAGTTGAAAACAGTGGGATTGACTGAGCTGCACTAAGTTTCAGAGAATTTTTTCCTTCTAAGAGAAGTTAAAATGTTTCCTACAAAAGTGGGTGGTGAAACTCCTATTCTGTGTAATGCTACTGGCCGGAGAGGAGCCACAGCAAGTCGAAAGGGGCCTTTAAAGCCATTTTAGCCCCGAGACGCTCCCCAAATCCCAGCGCTGTCTCTGGTGCTGAGCACACAACTGCTCACTAATGGAATAAAAAAAGGCAAACAAAAACAACAAATCGGGGCGCCCAGTGTGCCAAAATTGCTTTTCCGGGTGCCCAGCGAAGGGGAGCAGCAGGCGCAGGGAATCTCTGCACTCGAGGACAAAGGCTCTTGCCCAGCGGGGCAGGAAGGAGAGTCCAACCTCGGGTCAGCAAACACGGTATTTCGCTCGGCCGCGCGTGACCCCCAGGGCTCCGCGAGCTTTCGCACGTGAGCATTAATGCCTGGAGCACAAAGCCCCCTCCAGCCGCCCCGCCGCCTGCACCGCACGCCTAATTATAGTGCTCAGGAGCCCAGCTTTGGATTAAATCACGGGATCAGCTGAAAGCACAATCCCCCCCATTGTGCTTTACTGTATATACTGCTGCCATCCACCGAAGACACGCATCTGTTGCGAAATACAGGGTTGTTATCAATGATTAATCTTTTACAGCATGTATAAAAGAGAAGCTTCATGCTGTGCCTCTCGGACAGTTGAAAGCAAATGCACATAAAAAGCAGATTTTTAGCCGAGAAGAGACAAAATACTGCATTTGGGAGAGGGCCACGGTGGTATATGTGTTTGCAGCACGTGCATCTCTGTCTCCGCCTCACACAAGAGCATTTGTCTCTTCCCGCATCTTCTGTCCCATAACCTTTCCCAAGGTCAGCTGCTCATTGCCATATTTCATAATATCAGCACCTGACAGGGGCAGGTGGCCTGATTCCTCTTCGGGTATAAGATGTTTACTCCTAAGCATCCCCTGCATTTACAGGGCGCCCAGGAGGGAGGAGAGAAGGAAAGCAGCGTGAGGGAAAATGATGCAACTTGTGCAGCCCCTTTTCCGCTTCCACCTCTGTGCATCCCTGCTTCACAGCCTCTTACCTCTCCTCCTCAGCATAGGCCATGCTCCTCGCTGGGTAACCGGCAGCAGGGGAAGGAAACGGAACCTGCCGGAAAGACCGAGCGGCGGAGGCCCATTGAACGTGCCGAGCCGGGCGGCCCTGGCAGGGAGGCGGGAGGTGTGTCCCCGGCTTTCCCCGGAGCAGTCCCAATCCCGGAATAGGAGGGGCGTGCTCAGGAGATCGGCTTTTCTGCTCTCGCCCCCGTGACACGCGTGCTCCGGCTCTGTGCAGCAGCCTCACGCGCGTGCACACACGCACACACACGCGCGCGCTCACATTTTAATGCAGATGAAGCCTGGAAAATTCACGCGTGCGGCTTCAGCAGCCCCTAACGGCATCGCAGCTGACAGCGAATTTGCATAGATTTGCACGCGCTTGCGTCAACCAGGAACCAACTAGCAGCTCTGCTCGCCCGTTCCTGTATAATGCATCGCCTGGAAGCGGGCCACGAGTTTGCCAGGCGTCTGCAGAGCCCGTGAGGTGATCTGTGCCACTGTTCCTGCGAGCAACGAGACGTTTCTGCATCTCCTTTCATTATTTTCCCTTTCTGTGCAGCAACAAGGGGAAATATCCTATTAGGATCCCCCTTTTTTAACTCCCATTTCATCGCCGTGCTCATCTCAGCAAGAAATACTGCTTTGAGCTATTCTACATCTCTCCACCTTCTTACATCATGGAAGATACTGGAAAAAAAAAATCAGCATCCCAGCACATACCTCAATATTTTGTTTTTTTTTATACACAAAGCTTAAAACAACCCTGGCATATGCATCTGTTCACACAACAGTGAGCTCAGCAGCTAATTTGAATCAGTTTAACAGAACCAGAGATGTTTCCAATACAACAAAGTGCCTAAAAACACATATGAAAATAAGCGATGAGTGGAGCAGAGAGCTTACCTGCTCCAGGTGCTCTACAGAGCCATCAGAGCCCACGGGGTCCAGAAAAGCCACAGGGGAGCAGCCTTCACAAGTGCCCAAGTGGGGAGAAAGCTTCTGTCAAAGCTTGGGAACAAAACAGGCAGGCTTAATGAAAACCTTTAGAAAAGGAACTTCACTGGTTCCAGCTCTGGTTGGTTTTTTGTTTCGTCTTTGTTTCCTGGCCTAGAAATCCACACATTAAACATCCGGGTTGCCCCAGGAAACCTCAAAGTCAGATGCTAAGAAACAGCCTGGGCATTTTTAGCGAATCCGTTGTGTGCAGAGGCTCCTTCCTGGTCAGTACCTTTTCCTTCAGCACCATTTGCCGATACAAAGCGCACCAAGCGCTGCAGGAGGCTCCGCGGGCGCGCGGGGCCCTGCAAGTCGTGGTGGCCGGGAGCCCCCTCCCTGCTCCCGCACCTCTCGGCCCCCTCACGTCCCTCGCCAGCACCCGGGACGTTTTAAAAGCCGTTACCTGCTCCTATTCGATTAGCAACAGAGCAGCATTAGGCCCTTAATGTTGATTTTCCACAGAGTTCTTTGGTACCAGCAGACTTCTGATGCCCCCCAGATACGTTTCCTTTTTTAGCCTTAACCTGATTACATTCATTAATCTGTTTCTTTTCTTTTTTCTTTTTTTTTTAAACTTTTGCAAAGCAGAAGAGATCAGACAGACCGAGAGCTCTTTCCAATTTGTTCTTGGTCACAACAATCTCCCCTTAGTTGGGATTTACATGGCAAACAGGATTAATGAGAAGGGACCATTTTATTTCTGTGATGGTCTGGTTTAAGAGCAACTAAAATGACTGGAGTTTTAACCTGTGATGGTGCCTTTATTTTATGCTTGTCCAGCGAGGCTCGCTCTACTAGACAAAAATTAATTTGAGTATTCACATCAATAATACTGAGGAAAGGAAGAGGAAAAAAACTAATTAAACTTCAGCTCCTGTACAAGCACTCTAAAGTACATCTGTCTAAAAAATGAAGTTATTGAGTAGGTTGCATAATCACAAAGAAAGAATATTGACAGTCATTCACACTGAAAGAAGCTCATCTGTCTATTATTCTTTATGTATATGTGTCTGCAGCACAAATATATCTATAATCCAAATCTTATTGACCCAGGTGCCATTCGAGCGCTGCTTCTCTAGGTAGAAATTCAACAGCTAGAGCATGCAGATACAATCACCTCAAATCATTTTGTAACAAGGCTTTACATTCCTATGGTAATATTCACCTAAGGAAGGGTGAAGCTTTCCGCAAGCATTTCATCAAAATATGTAATTAGTGCTTTAGGGTAAGACTCCCACATACCTCTATGCTCACATTATCACAACATCAAGTTATCTTGCCTTCTCGCATGAATCAGACCATGAGTATTTTGGAAAAGAATTGGGATGGGGAAATACTGCCGGCGTTTCTCAATGGTGGTTCTGACCTCGGTAACCCGCGTCCGGGGGAGGCATCCCGCAGCAAAGGGCGCTGTGCTCGGCCCTAGCTCCACTGGGGACCCCTTCCAGGTCCTCTGCGCTTCGGGAGGCTGTCTCCATGTTTTGGAGGAACAGGAAAGGGGGAAACCCTGGAACAATTTTGCTTCTCTACAGATTCAGATCTGGAATCCAAGTGTATCACTGCTCCTGCCGGCCAGTTAAGGTGGTCTAACATAAAGTTCCCTCCAAACTTAGCCAAAAGTTTGGATACAGATGGGAAGAACATGAGTTAAGTTAAAAAAGACATGCGAAGACTCCACAGGTGGCTACAATCAGGATACTTCCCCATACTGAGACCACATAGGACAAGAGTTTATCCTCTTGTCATTGGGTTTTCCTCTCAAGCAGTAATGCTTTCGCAGAGGAGCTCCAGTACAAAACACCCACCAAGCTCCTGGCCTTGTTACAAAGGACAACTCCTTGCAACTCCTCTTTGGAGGGCGCAGCTCTCTGGAGATCACTAGATGAAGGTACCAACACTTGTAACCATGGTCCACCAGGAGGATGGAGAATTTATGCTCTCCCAAGAGGTCCAATGCTTTCTCATCATCTCATCTGTGGTGAAATAATGCCATGGAACTGAATAGTCTACCTGGTTTTTCCTCATTTCTTTCACTGCTTTCTTTTGTGTTAAGCGAAGGTTAAACAAGAGTCGATCATTTTACTAATGTTCTGCATTAGATATTGCTTCGGTCTCAATGCACTTTCAGTGTTGCAACAGATTACTGCTGCAATCCTTCTGATGAAGGACTCTGAACGCAAACCTGCCTGGTTCTGCACTGCAAGCCAAAAAGCAGAATGAAAGCCCGGACTGATCAGCCGCCAAGGTCACACCAAGATCAGCCAGCCTGCCCAGCCTTGTGCACGACCTACTAATGTCTCCGTAGAGCTAAAAGCTTCGAGACAAAACACAAAGCAGAGCCTCAGATACAGCTGAGGAAGTGGGAGACAGCAAATCTCTCCTGGACATGCACCAGGGTCTGCAGTATCTGTGTGGTTCTTTCCCCGAAAAGGCTTCCACCCTCCTACCTTTAGGAAGGCCAACGTTTCCTCCCTGACTGACGAACGTTTTACAGCCCCATTGCCAAAACCATGGCAAGCCTTGATCTGAAAACACACTTTTACGTGAGTGATCTTTAGATGCTGGGTGAGAAGAGCTGGATGCCCTGTAGAAACTATTTTTTTTTCTTCCAGGGCTCAGCCTGCTCCTTCAGGCCCCATTCCTGCATAGCTGATACAATTAAAAAACCTCCTCCAAACCTCCAGCAACACCCTTCAACTGCATCAATTAGCACAGTTAGACTGCACAGTCACCCTGCTATTTTTAATTAAGAAAAAGCACAAGTGGGACTAGTTCATTCTTAACTGGAAGATTTGTGGTGTTTAGCTAAATGCCTCTTTCAGGATACATGTTTCTGTTCAGCACTGCTCCAGCTGCACACGCATATGCTCAGGGAGAAGGACTGAAGAGGAGCTATGTATCAGCTATTAGAAGCTTAACTCCACCGAAGTGGGGCTAATGCGGAAAGCAGGAGATATGCTCCAACTTTGTGTTTCTGATAGGGGCAGAAAAAGATCCGAGGAACTAGTCAGAATGAGGCAGAAGCACTTCATTGATTTGGTATTTTAACTTGAAAAGTTGGTAAGGAAAGATTAGAGGAACCTGAAGTTCACAAGCTGAGTTAAGAGTTTAGAGACATACTCAGGAGGAAGAAAAACCAAAAGCCAAAAAACCAACCAACCAAAAAAAAAACCCAAAACCCACTTATTTTCCTTAAAAATACTATTTCTCTTAGCTGGATTGCTATATACTTTAGCTAGGATTTCTTTTAGCTGGGAATTTGGTAGCGTTGCATGTTTAACAATGAACAGCTTTTCGCTGCATTTTGGGAAATTCCTCTCTTCAGTAGCCTGGACTCCAATTAGCAGCCTAGGGTATAGAAAGATTAAAAGCTACATTGAAAACCCAGTAAAATGGAGCTGATAGAAAAGGTCTTTTAACCTGAATCGCTTTCCCAAGATGTTGGATTACAGTCTTAACTAGTATTATCTAAATGCTCATGAACCTGACAGCCTATAAGACTGAAGTTCACAAGCTGAGTTAAGAGTTTAGAGACATACTCAGGAGGAAGAAAAACCAAAAGCCAAAAAACCAACCAACCAAAAAAAAAACCCAAAACCCACTTATTTTCCTTAAAAATACTATTTCTCTTAGCTGGATTGCTATATACTTTAGCCAGGATTTCTTTTAGCTGGGAATTTGGTAGCGTTGCATGTTTAACAATGAACAGCTTTTCGCTGCATTTTGGGAAATTCCTCTCTTCAGTAGCCTGGACTCCAATTAGCAGCCTAGGGTATAGAAAGATTAAAAGCTACATTGAAAACCCAGTAAAATGGAGCTGATAGAAAAGGTCTTTTAACCTGAATCGCTTTCCCAAGATGTTGGATTACAGTCTTAACTAGTATTATCTAAATGCTCATGAACCTGACAGCCTATAAGAATATTTAAAGGGGTTAAAAAGAGGGTTGCTTTTTTTTTTTTTTCCTTCAAACAACAACAACAACAAAAAAACCTTAAAAAAATCCACTCCAAGCAATTTAAATAACCTAATCTCTGCAAAGGCTGATCATGCTACATTTTGTTTTTGTAGATAGGAAAAAGCTAAACAAACAAGATACACACACAGAAAGAAAAGAAAAAAAACACATAAGAGAAAGCAAACAGAAAATCCTAACCTAAAGGAAAGCTATTCTTCCACTTCTGCTAGAAACAAAAAACGTTTCAGACTGTACTGTACCTGTTACATTGTGGTTCCCTTTAAGTTCTCTTAAGCTAAAGATAAGAAATTTAATAATATTACCAGCATTGCATGTTCTGCCCAAACAAAATTTGAAGTCACACCACAACAGGCACTAAACCCTCACCAACCTAACTAGCCTCCTGCTCAGCTGCTTTAACGAGCTCCAGCCTTTCCCCCCCTTAAACTTGCTGATCGATCAGACAGCAACGTTCAAAGACACCAAGGGGAGAGCAAAGAGGTTCTGTCTGCAGAGATCAATCTTCCACCCACAGATCTGGGGCTTCCTGTAGGGTGAATCTTCCTTCAGGAAGGACAATATGTATGTGGGTTTGTTTGGTTTTTTTATTACACTCTCTGTATTAGTGGTGAATATACTAATGTCAGCCCCCCAAAATGAGTTGTTTTTATTTATTTTTTTTCCCCAGGGATTTGAAGAGATGAATGCTCGTTAGTCTTGCGTTTGTGCCTATGGGCAGCCTGGGGCAGTTTAACTGTTATTTTATTCAATAGGAAGCAACCCACCTGCAGCTGTAGCAATGTGTAGTTAATCTGGAAAACAAGTTAACTGGCTCAAAAAGGAGATGGGGGAAGGTTATTAATTTATAGAGTTATATTTTCAGTTATAAATTTAATATATAAGTCTTTCAGTGTGTTCAAGCAGTGCTTGTACTACGCAATTTCTTATGAAATAGGATGAAATATTTGTTATATCTAGATTAGCAGTTGCTTTGATTCTTTTAAATTTGGGTGCAATTTCTATTTTTAACTCTTTAGCTTCTAGCAAAGCTTTTCCCAGTTCCTTCAGTTTTGGAGTCCGTTGTACTCCAAGCAGGTGTAAAAACTGTCTTTTCTGGGCCTGGATCAGCCTCTAACCGAGAAAAATATGGGAAAAGGGCAGTGTCACAGGCATAAACCTGGCTTTAGGGATGTCCTGTTAACTTGGGATACCCTGTTGGGTACTTCGCCCAGGGCAGCTGGCAAGGGCCTCGTTTGGTTGCTTTCAGCTGGGGGCTGCTGCGGAGCTTCCCACCGTGTTTTGCCCTAAATAGGTGTGGGAGGCTCCGAGGGGAGCAGGGGCGCTCCGTGATGGAGGTGCCCTGTCCCCACCGCGACTCATCCTGCGCCGAGGCCTCCGCTCCG